GTTGCAACTGCAGTTGTGCTAATTGTTGAGGAGTGAGCTGTCCTTGTTGGAATGGTTGGCCTGTTTGTGACGCCTGCGGGCCTTGAACGACCTGACCAGCTGATACGATGACTTGATTAGAAGAGTTTATCGGAGTTAATGCTGGTGGCTGTACTCCGGGATGTACAGGTTTCTGTCCTGGAGTTTGCGTGAGTTGCGGTCCCATCATCTGCGGTCGAGCTTGCTGAACCCACTGTAAACTGCCTGGCTGTACTGGTTTACCAGGACTCCTTATAACTGCGATGTGTGAGCCTTGCTGCGCCTGACGATTTTGCATCTGCCTTTGTAATATTAGGCTGCTTCGATGCTTTTGAATCTTCTGAATGAATTGAGCCCTCTGTTGGGGATCCATCTGCTGCAACTGCTGATGTGTTTGCGCGTCCAAATGAATTAATTGTCTGGGGGGTTGAGGCGGTTGTTGATTCCATTGTCCTCCAGACCTTTGAGCACCAATCTGTTGCTGTTGCTGTTGCCTTTGCAGCTGTAAGTGATATTGCTGCTGTTGCCACTGTGAATCCCGTTGAACAATAAATCCTTGCTGATTTGGTCCAATTAACTGCTGATTCTGTGGCTGTTGTTGTAATTGACCGTCCCTTATAACAAATTGTTGGGAGTTCTGAGGAGCAGATTGCTGCAATTGTTGTGAAATCTGTTGTATCTTCTGTTGTTGCTGTTGTTGCTGTTGCAACAAAAGAAGTTGTCTTTGCTCGGAAGTAAGTTGCTGCGATGGAGTCTGTTGTTGAGTCAATTGATGTTGACCTGCTATTTGTTGCTGTTGAGAAGGTAATTGCTGCTGCTGTTGCATCACTATTTGCTGTTGTTGAGTTGCTAATTGCACTTGCTGCTGCTGTTGTTGTGTCAAATGTGGCTGCTGAGTCTGTAATTGTTGTTGTTGAATAATTTGGTGTTGATTTAATTGCTTTTGTTGCGATGTCAATAATTGCTGTGGTTGCGTATTTAGCTGATGTTGAGATAATTGCGAATTTATTGGTTGTTGCTGTTGTTGAGGCACTATCGATTGCTGTTGCCCTACTAATTGTTGTTGCTGTAACTGAGGAGACTGCTGCTGATTCAAAAGTTGTTGTTGGTTGTATGATGGCTGCTGCAACTGTTGTTGATGTTGCGTGAGTTGTTGTTGCGTTAATTGCTGTTGCGATGTTAATTGTTGTTGCTGCATCAATTGATGTTGCATATTTATTTGCTGTTGTTGCGGAGACAATTCTTGCTGCTGCATTTGTGACGGTACAGCTTTTATTTGTTGAGAAATATTATTTTGCTGAGATGTCTGTGGAAGCCAATTTGTTTGATTAATAACATCCTGGTCAGATACTGATGAAGCAACTGTGGAAATGCTCAAACTGGTCGAGGAAACTGATCGTGGAAGATGCTGTTGCGGCTGCATGTTCACGGTATTTTGTCCGTTTGTTGAATAAGGAACAGTCGCTGTACTGGTTGCACCAAGACTGTGCGAAGCACTTGAAGACACTGGTGGACTTGGCTGATTCCACGGCATACGTTGCTTAAGTTGCTCCAACATGGCCTTCGTCCTATCTTGCTCCTCTTGCGCAACATTATTATCCGTATCTTCATCCATAAATCCAGTAATCATTGCTGTTGAGCTATTTGGAGACACTAGCAATCTAGGATGATACTCCACTTCGCTAACGAGAGTACCTTTCTTACAACATTCCGTTACCCAATCAGGCGTTACAATAGATATATGGTGTCTCGTAGCAGTTTCATACTTTATACCGCTTGCTTTGCCCGTAATCAGATGAGTGCAATATTTATCCAAGCGTAGTTGACATTTGCCACCTTGGAGTATTATCATTGCCCATAGAGACTTGCTGTCTGCTCGACTTACCTGGGATAGGCAGACATTTATGTTCGAAAACAACTGATTCTCTTCTGGTGAGAAATATTGCGTTCTATTTGAATAAAGTTGTTAAGAAAATATAAATTATGTAAATTTAATAATCTAATTCAAAGTGTTCTGTAAATGTAAATTTTTTAACATTTAAGCTACTCACATATTTGTTATATTAATTCTTTAAGAATTTATTAAAAATTGTTCAATTTTTTATCTTTAAAATATATATCTATTTGTAATAAATATTAATGTATTGATATTAAAATAACAGTCTTTTGCAAAAGGATACGGCAAAAGCTTGTTGCATTTAACAGAAAATAAAACCCAATTTTGTGTAACTGCTGGTATTTCATATAGATCCTTCGCTGCAGAAATGTCATTTTCTAATGCTTCATTGCCTGCTATCAGATGTGTAACATAATCACTAAAATAATTAGACCTCTCAGCCCCACCTTCTTGCAATAAATTCAAAATCTGTAAAAGTATTGTCTATGATTAACAAACAATAACATTTTCTAATAGTCAAGCATGTATAAATCTGAAATATTTCAATACTGTTGTCATTCCAAATATTAAGAAATAAATTACAGAAAAGAGAAACAGTCCAACGACAGGACGACATTAATATGAAATGGTGTTTCAAATTATAACCTTCGTTGACAATCGAAGAACATCGGTTTCATAGTGGAAAAAAAGAACAGCATAGCTTTCACAAATATCGCGCAGTCAGCTGCGATAGCAGCGAATCTCATGGCTGTTCCATTCGTCGGGTGTTGGAGCATCGGCAGAACAAAAACGCGGGAAATGAACAGAAATTATAACGTACCTTCGGATCGCCTGCACCGCTGACGTAGTATTTCACATTGGCGAAGAGAGCACTGTCGAGCTTTAAGTCCTCGAGGCCAGCCCTTATGTCGCCCATCCTGTCGAAATTGTTCCCGGTAGACTCACGTCTTCGACATCACAATAGCGGCGTGTACCGCGCGAAATCGTGGACAGAGATATTATGACTCCGCAGTATTTGATAACAAAGGTCTGTCGCGACGCGTTTGTTATTATTATGATTGCAGGTTATGTGCGGGTTCTGCGTAGTGCTACGCTTAATCCGCGCGGCGCATACCACAGCTCGTAGAGGTAGATGTCGCATTATGGCGCATGATTTGAACGCAAAATTTGATTACATGACATTTTCTCGAAAAGCTAAACTGGAAAATGTTGGTGCTAACAAACACCTCTAGGCAATATGATTTTAAGTACGGATTAGTAACAGTGGCCTAGTTTTCACCGAGAGTTTAATCCGGATCAGAATGTAAGAATCAACTACAGTCGAGTATTCCCCTGTTATAGTCGAACGACAGGGGAATGCTCGATTGTAATTGGTTTATTCTTACATTCTGATCCGGTTTAAACCCTCAGTAGAAACTAGGCCACTGTTAAAGTAGTAAGAGGCTCCGCACAATAAAAGGAACAGAGAACAGAGAATAAGAATTTCAATCTATCAGAAACTGTATATTCTATAATATATGATTTCTGATAGATTGAAATTCTTCTCTGTTCTTTGTTCCTTATTCCTTTTATGCGGAGTCCCTAAGTCCATAAGTTCATCCATAAGTCCATACCACGAACTTATGGATTTACTACTTCCAATCTAGTTTTTCGAGAAAATGTCATGTAACCTAAATTTATATTAATTTCCAATTTTTTAATTGTATTACTTTTAAATAAATTTTCAACAAATTAACATATTATTTATTATGATTTATTTTTTGATGAAATATATTCCATTTTTCACATTTATACAACTCTGATACATTTAAAAGGAAATAGGATACATTTAGGCTGCGTTCCGTTGCATGTATAATGCGCATGAAGTATCATTTTATTCTTGTTGTTTACAGAGTGTCAAACAAGGATAAAATGATTCTGCAACGGAACACTGCCTATAATCTTAAGGTGCCGTCCTATAGAGCGGAAATTGACAACGGAACGGAATCAACACAATTAAAATACTATTTTTATTATTACAAGTATTGTAAATAACATAAAAAGTATGATTTTATATTATTCCGCTTCCGCTTAATGGGACATAAATTTAAGAAAAGCGTAAAAAAGAAAACGGAGTGGCTGTGATTCGACGTGTTGATTCCGCCGGTTTCGTTCTGTTGCTAATTTCCGCTCTATGAGACGGCATCCTTATATTATATTATCTTGCATTCTCGCTCATACATATGTACAAATCTTAATGGTCTTTTTCTTACTTTTTCTTAATTTGAATTTTTACTTACTTATAAAGAAATCTAGGAATCTACAAATATTGAGCTTGGTTAGTATTCTCTTAGAACGTACATACTGGAAGAGTCATAGGTGACTGCCGATGGCACCAACATCTGTCCTTGTCTGAATGCTTCATCGTAATATGCATGCGTCGAATATCCATATGTACATACGTTTAAACTTCAAAGCTCGCGAAACGAAAGCGTATAAAATTATTAAAAAATAGGACGTTATTGTCTCAAAATATCAACGAAGCAAAATAAAATATCTTTTCATGTAAATATAACCTTACTTCGTAGATAATTTTAAACCAAGCTTTAAGATTATGCATTGAATTAATTTAAATTATATAAATATATAAAATATATGTGTATTTTAAATGTCACAGCAAACAAGCATTCAGATAAGGACGGATAGATGTTGGAGACACTTTTACTACATTGGTTACATTACGATATAGTCTTTCCAGTATGTATATTCTAAGTATACTTCCCATTAAGTTCTGTCACTTTTCTCTTTCTTTTTCCGAGTGCAGCTTTTTAGGAAGGTCGAGTTGCTGCTACTTGAATGCAAGATTAATACTATCCGTCATACGACACCTATAAATATTACAGATACATCTATAAATATTACATCAATATACGTTTAATCAAATTAAAAGATTGAGTTATTTAATTAAATATGAATTAAGGCGAATGAGAATAAAAATTATCAATTGATATTAGTTATAAGTATTTGCGATAAAATCATTTAGTCAAGAAAAAAAAAAAGAGAAAGCTAAAGAAGAAGGCAAGAGAACTTGTTTTATATGCGAGCTAATATCTGCGCGATACAAATAAATTATACAGGATCGCCAATCCATCGAGCTGGAGACCTATTATAGATACTAAAAATTAAATTAGACGAAACAGATTAAAAATAGGGAAGGAGGAGAAACATCAATAACACCTTGCGAGATCAGATTATATCATAGTCTCGCTGCAGCCAGTCATGCTGTCGAAATATGACTATATGTTTGGGTAAGAATCGCGTTCGCAAAAAGCTGCACTACCACTGGACTCAGCCAGTGGATTGCATTCGTCAGAGCGTATCGTATTTTCGAGGTAACACGATGTTTCTAGAGTCTTGTTAAGTTAGGAACCCGGGTTGGGATTATCGCCATTTCTTTGCCTTGCCTCAAGCTGCTTCGCCAGCAGAGTGACCTCCCAATTATTGTAGCCGTCCTGCCGCGTAATCTTATCATCATCATCATCATCATCATCCTCATCAACATCCTCTTCCTCTTCGTCATCATTCTCTTCTTCTTCTTCGTCCTCGTCATCGCTATCGCTTTTGGAAAAACCGATATTAAAGTCTTCATCGGATCTGCTGTCACTGTTCGATTCAAGGTCTATCGCCACGTCCTTCCGCAACAGTTTCTGGGGTACTATTGAGTTCGGCAGCTCCTGCAGTTCCAGAGTTTCTCTTTCCGAATGTTCCTCCCACGATCGCCTGCTGCGTGAGCTTGAACCAACGGACGAGGACGAGTGTCGATCGCGAGACCCGAGGACGGTGTCCACAGAGCTATCACGCATGAAGGGATGATCCTCACGATCGTCGTCGAGGTCATCCTCCATGGAAGCATCGTGCTCGGTGCTATCCCCACCGGAATCATCTGCTCTCCGCAGTTTCTTTCGCTCTAGTTGCTGAATGTGTGACTGTAGCTGCGATATTATTTCGTCACGCTTATGTATTTCCAGCTCTAGCGACGTGAACTTATCTTGCACATCTTCCTGAAATGTCAAAAGCAGTGATATGATTAATTAAGACAGCGGGCAGTATGTCATACGGTAATAGGGAACTTCTGCAAGCGGGGTTGGATAATTGATAAACGATGGGCTTGATAAACGTACATCTGGTGATGAGAAGTACCAAGTTCAGGATTTTGGGAAACATGCTTAAAACGGTGATGGGTTTAATTTTGCAGAATTACACGAGCGAGTACAGTCTTCTTTGCTTCAAGAGCAGAAAATATAATAGCAGATCTAAAACAATTCAAAATTAAAAATAAATTATTAATAAGGAAAAAAAATATAAGCGTAAATTTATTTTCGCCGGTAAATTCCGCCGATTATTTGTACTGTCAATAAATATCGATATTGAAGAGTGTTATCGGAATGTCTCTCGCGAGAGCAGCCCTTTGATAAAGACCCTCCCACGTGATGACAGGGAGCGATACACAAAGCTCACCTATTGAAAGCAGGGACAAAGGAAACGGCAGTCGCGCTTCTCACTCACCAAGCCTGCTTTGATGACCTCGCCGACCCCATAGAGCAATTCGTCCAAGCACTCCTCCCGCGGCCAAGATGTTGTTTGTATCGAGACATCACCGGCACTGCTCACAGGACGGAAACTAAATTTATTGGGCGGCGGCAGTGACAGCTGATCCTGGTTGCTGGACAGCGGGCGATATTTTGACGATTGTAAGAGTTGCTCGGACGGCGGGCTCTGCAGCGTGTACTTGTTGAAGGTCACACTCTTGGATAGCTTTGAGTGCCGCGCGGCGTAACCCTCAATCGTCGGCGCTCTCATCAGCTTTTTCAGTTCGGCGTCGCGATCAGGCGTACTCGTCGCAGAGGTCTCGGAACTGTCAGCCCTACTGCTGGCTGATAGTTTCTTCAGGATGCTCTTCAAATTCTGCCTCTCGAGCGTTTCGTTCTCTGGCGATAATTGCTCTGGTGACGCCGACTCTTGTCGATCCTATTATAAAACAACAGAGTTGAGCAGTAACTAATTAAAATGTTAAAAATTGAGAAAAGATTAAAAAGTTAATGACTTTTTAATTTAATTTCGTTAATTTTAAATACATTAATTTTTAACTTTAGTTACTTTTAAATTTTAATTTACTAACTTTTTTAAATTAAAAATTTTGCTATCCCTCTAAATATTTTTATCCCCGCTATTTTTTTTATTAAATATTAGAGAATTAATTTAGAAAAAGTTTAATGATTTTATGATTAGAGACTCTATAATAAGAGTCACACCATACGGTGGCCAGTTTTTATTGACTCTCGCTAGATTTTGTCCCACTTATTTTGAATTACACTAATTTTAGGTATTATAAATATTATATTTCAGCAATATAAATATGAAATCAGATAAAAAATTGATGTAAAATAGTACTGCACATCCATCTATTTTCTAAATTTTTACGTATATTTTTTGTAATAAATATCTAGTCGATGTAGCCGTAAACATACGTGAGCAGTCGTTTTCATCGTTAAAAGAAGTAAGATAAAGGTTGAAGAAAAAGAGATTATGTAAATATACTTTTCTCTCTCGCAAGATTTTGACGAAAATACCTTATGCTTTGATTCTTAAGTGTAACTTACATGTGAATAAAAAAATTAAATTTATCTAATAATCTATATTGTTATTTCAAATAATATCATTAAAAAAAATTAGAACATTCTGATCTCAAAAATAATTTTTTTCAAAATAAACTTTTTTTAAAACTTAAGTTAATTCAATCTTAACTTAACTTTAATTAAGTTAAATTTTTATTCTTCAACTCTCATTTTTAGAAATACCGTTCAAAGAAAGACTACAGAATTGTAGAGGATTGTCATAGTAAATATTTATATAGCAGATGCTTGGCGTGTCCGGGTAGCATTTATTATATTCTTGTAAGTTCATACATAATTAACCTACTGTTCTTATTTATGAACCGGTTTATACTGTATTCGTAATCCATTGTGCTCGACTTTACTACTACTACTTTATAAGTCTACTGTACTACTACTTTATAAGAGAAAATGAATTAACTATAATAGAATATATATTATAGTTAATTCATTTCCTCTTATAAAGTATTTTTTAACAAAAATAGGTCGGTGTCGTTGTAGTCAGTCCGTGTCGTCGTCGTCGTCAGCATCGGTCGGCGTCACCGGCGTTAGTCGATCGGCATCATCAAAGACAGTTGGCGTAGGTCGGGCGTCGTGTAGTCAAAATCGGTCAACGTCATCGATATTAGTTGTCAGTTGACGTTGGTCAGTGTCATCGTCATGTAGCAATATTAAAAATAATGTATAAAAAATTTATTAAAAAATGTATTTATAAAAAATTCATTACGTATTTAAAAATCTACTTACTTGATTATATTTGGCCAGCTTCCTAGTGTACTCGATGGCACAGGTCTCCGAGTGGCTTCTCGTGAGGTTGCTGTCAAACTTCGATTCGACGTTATCGCCGCAATCAAGGGATGAGCTCCTAGCCGCTTTCTCTAGTTCGGCCAGCTTCTGCCTTTCGTTGAGGATTTTGAGCTTCTTAACGAATGGCAGACCGCAATACTCTGGCGAGAGGTCATCAACGGAAGCATACATCTTAGTTTGCTGTAGTTTTTTGGCCGGTGAACTTTTCTGCGACGAATTATCCTTGGGAGTCAATGATGCATTTTTCAACATGGTCCAGGGCTTGATCAGCTTGCACACAGTGCGTGTCTCAACCTGCGAGGTTGTGGTCACAGTAGTCATAGCGACACTCTGGCCATCTGAGGACGATTGCTCGTCCGATTGCGTGCTCGTTTCCTCGGGAATAGTGCTTTTAGGCAGTAGAGATTCCTTGGGCATTTCTCTCTCTATTTGAGTGGTCTCCTGCTCGTTTTTTGTCTTTAGCTGAAGTATCCTCTGCAAAAACGGCAAGTTCGGATTGGTGGGGTTCAAGGTCTCCGAGATTGGTGGTACATGTAGTTCTACCGTATTAGTCGATGTGTCCATCAAATTACGCCGTTCCTCCCTCTCCTCCTTTTCTTTCAACAGCCTGAGCCTGGACAGCAGCGGAAGACCGGCGCCCAGCGGCGACACCGGCTGTTCCTGAGTATTAGACAAAGACAGGTCTTGGCCGTCGTCGATCTTCTGCTGCCGTTTCAGCGTTGGCACCTTCGGCGCCAATGGCTGAAGCTCCAGGCTTTCTTCCGGCCGAGTGTTGCGCCTACTCTTCCGCAGGACGTTCTTCAGACCCTTCACGTCACTCTTCAGCTTATCGACAATCCTCTTACCAGTGCTGTTGTCGGACGAGTCATGACCGGGGGATGCAGATCGAAACGATTCCCGCACTAATTTCTGTGCTTCCAACAGTCTCTTTCGACCGAGATTTTGCAAGATTTCTTGCGCTTCCGGATAGTCCGTCATCGCCGTCAGCACGTCCTCCCGCGATAGACTAAACAGCTCGGAGTAACCCACTGAACGAACATCGGCTGTGCGTCTGAAAATTTTTTCGAATTTTCAACTTTAAGAATTTAGCTCTCATAAAGTGTGCGAAATTAAGAAAACATATAATTTTATGATTACAATTAAAATTGTTTATAAAAAGGTAAATTCTTCAAAAATATTTTTTGCATTTCTAAAATATCTCAGTTTTTTTTTTAATAATTATTTATATGTGAAAAAGCAAATTTCTTTTGCAGCTCGTGTAATTGTCTACTTCAACTTCACGAAATGAGAAACGAATCTATTATAGATCTTGACGCTATCATACCGGGCAGAAAAAGAACCAGAATAATTTTACTTACTTATTCAATCCGTCCAAATTGAGTATACCAATCTCGCCGAAGAAGTCCCCAGCCTTCATTGTCGTGAGTATTCTACCGTTTTCGCTGATCACTTCCAGTATACCGTCGGCTATTATGAACATCTCACGAGCAACCTCGCCCTTTCGACATATTGAATCGCCGGGAGTGAATATGTAGGCCTTCATCTTCAGAACGAGATCACGCAGAAATTCTGGTTGACATTCCTGTAAAACACCGATGATTCGTCAAAGAAACTGTATACGGTGTCTCAACAAAATTAAGTAAATCTTTGATAATCAAATATAATTTGCCAACAATCTCTTGCGAATAGCATATAAAAGAGCTGAATAAAAATCTTGTGATTACATTAATAACTGGCGCTTGCATAAATGACCTTATAATTGATTCCTCTTCGAGAGCCTCTAGGACATCAAATTGTTCGTTTATTATTCTCAGACTCAATATTATACGTGCACAATTACACGTAATTAAATTCATATAGATTTCATTCTTTAGAAAATTGATATTTTCACCATCTCCTTCCCAAACGTCACACAATTTCCTCTGGACAATAAAAGAGAGATTTCATTTCTAATATGGAACAGCCGTTCAGATTTTATTACATTGGCGTTGGCGTTCGAGAGCACAAATTTCTAACTTCATAATCGTTTTTAAATTTAAAGCTTCTACACCATTTCTGTAAAAAAAAAAAGACAATTTATGAAGACTTAAACATTAGCCTCGAGCTTTTATCGCATTTTCTATCTTGCGTGAATATATCCATATAATTTTAATCTTTACTTTTATAATCTTCTGTTAATAATACAAAAAAATTGTATTATCTTTTCTGATAAAATTAAACGATAAGTGAACTTTTCCGAAAAACATATATTTATAATACACCCATATTTTTTAATCAAAAATATTATCACATGAAATATCTCATTTTTTAATACACAAAATAGACAAATAAAATTAAAAATAAAAAAATTGTCGGCCTTAATAAAGAAAAATTCTGAAAAATTATAAATTCGATTTTAATAATAAAAAATTTTTCTAATAAGAAATTAAGACATTAAAGTGATACAAGTAGAAAAGAATGAAACTCTATTTATAATAATCAGTTATTTCGTATCTCGTTATATCAGTAAGGATATATCTGATACATTAATTTAAGTGTAATGCTATAATGAATGACATTAACATCTTTTCAACCAGACGATTTAACAGATAAATTGGATTATCTACCACGCCTATTCCATGTTATCTGATACTCATGTCATGTCGTTTGTCTCGTTCTTCAAGTCAAGTCGCAGAGTCATGGATTTACAAACCTGCAGCTATATGTTTATAATTTGCAGTTTATAGTTTACGAATTTATCACAGTATATTTATATATTTCTACTTTAATCCTAATATAAGTTGTCATAAATCGTACGATTTCGATGGCGTGCTAATTCTTTATAACACTCACATAGCAAATTTATATATTGTAATTTAAAATATAATAAATCTGGAGAGATTGGAATAAGCAAAGAAAGATGGATCAACATTTACGAGATTGCGACGGGTGACTCTTCACGTTTTGCTCTTTTGCAGCCTTTGACAATCGCGAGGTGGCAGTCGTAATTCTTCGTATTCTTCGTAGATATAATTCTTTTCTCGGCTACACCATGATACAAAGACTTTGTATCATGAGCTAGACCTTGTCAGTTCTCAGAAACCTCCGCTAATAGAATCGATCTTCCGCGATATTTTATTCAATCGACAATGCACACCATCGATTAGTGAACGCGTTTCCGCGTCACACAAGCGTTTCCTTACATCACCTGCTTTGATTTGTGAAGAGAACACAACCAGAGATCTCGAGGCTGTTATCGTCGAAGCCGCTTGACTTTATTCAGCCGATCTACAATGGGCCTCGTTAAAATGCAGTCAGAACGAATGCGTATATTGACGCAAACACTACAACTAGTGAAAAAAAAATACGGGGTGTTTGAATTGACGGTGCAAATTGGCATATTCTTCGGCCAGTTTAAAATCGATTTTTCGATGGTGAGAATATTTATAATTTTTGAATTACCAACAATAAAATATTTTTGAAAGACTTCTTTTATCCACTCTAAATAAAAAAGGAATCGGAAATAAATAAAATGTATTTTTTATTAATCTCCTAAGTTTTATTCTTTAATAGAAATTTAATTTGTTTTAGATTGAGAGAAATATTTAACAACATGGACAACGAAATGTAAGAATATTAATTTAAGATCAAAATATTTAATACTAGAAATTAAGAATTATAGAGAAAAATGTACAATCAATTTTCTAAAAACGTTTGTAAATCTTATAATATCGATGCAATTCCTAGAAGAAAAAATATTTTATTAAGATTTGCAATATTTATTTTTTTTGATAGTATTAACCCGCATTGAGAATCGCTGGTCGATTTTTTAACAAAAAAAAAATAGGTCAACTTTGGAAAGTAGGCTCCTTAAGGGCATAGTAAGAATGCCATTAAAAGGATTTCAAATTTTGAAAAAATATATTTGTCTTGGTCTTTAATGGGTTAATCTTTTCGAATTGTTTACAAAAATTTTTTTCTGTAGATAATTTTTATAAAAATGTTAACAATAGTTTCGATAAAAATTTTGATAATAATCTTTCGACAGTATTCAATTTTTATAAAATTAATATTATTTTTCTGTTGAGTTTTTGCAAGATTTGTTAGAAAAATATGCATGTTCAAGAAGATTAAAACATTATATATTCCTCGATATAATACTTAATGGCTATCGTAGGAAAGCCGGGATCGCATGTCGCAACGGGTGAGTTATCATAACTTTAATAATTCAACTGTTACATGCGCTGTGAGTAAGCGAAGTCACTGTTGCGCAAAAAGGATTTTCAGTAAGTTGTGTATGCAGACACGATCGTTTGTGACGTCTTGTACAAATGCACTCGCTATTTCACGTCTCTCTTGCTTAAAAAAATATTTTTTGTGTATGATGTTTTTTGTATACAATCTATCTATATTATTGTGGATTATACGTAAATATTATTGCACCCTGTTATGTAAAAATATACCTTTTTGCCCAGTTTCACTGACATCAAGTGTATTACACTCAATAAGACATAGAGGATCGATTAAACAGCTTTTGATTTTTTAGGATACACGTATAATCGTGAAAAAGTTTGAAAGCGTATTCACCTTTTTACATCTATGAAGTAATTAATCAGAAGCCATTTTTTTATGTGCTCTGTAGATTTGGGACGCAATGGGTAAATGAATCAATGAACAGTGATTACGAGACACCGCCAAGGGTAGTTCAGAGACGTTCCTATTGAAACGGTCCGAGTACGACCGCAATTAAAAATGGCACATAGACTCGCCAATTACAGGCAATCGTAATAGCAGCTCGCGAAAATCTCTCTCTCTCTCTCTTTCTCTTTATTCGTCACGCCGTCAATGCTGTATAATTCCCTTCTCGAATCGAGAAAGGGATGAATAAAAGGGATCCGAGTGAATCACGCAGACTGAATCACCTAGTCGCTTTAAACTTGCAACTCGAGATCTCTCCGATCTAGATTCGTCGCACCGTGAACTTCATTATCTTCGCAGTGCAATGTATATTGTACTCACGAATCCAATCAAGAATAAATATGAGCTAGCGTGCAGTTAGCATCAGAAAAAGACGATCGCAATACCCAAGAACATATAAATGAAAAAGCTGATGGAAAAAAATAAATTGTTTATTGAGGATGTATATATATATATATATATATATAACGCGATCAAATCGAAATAATACGAAAAATATCAGTGCATGTAAGATCGCGCTGAAATGGATATATATACGTATGTGCAAAGATATACATACGTATGTGCTGATCGTAAGCCGTGGCGGCAAAGGTATTACAGTACCATGAAA